CACTTCAGTGGGTCAGCCTGAACTTTTTTTTTTAATAAAATACAAAAAATCCTTTCTGCTTTTATTTATTGCAAAAAAAATTAATCCCATTTTTTATGAATTAAAATTACCTTTCTTTCATCACATAGTGGATCGCTATCACATATTCTGACTGTGAAACAAACCTGTGTTCAGAAGTCTTCATTATGTTTCAAAAGATTGTGATACCCACCAGGTTTAATCGCCCTTAAACAGCGAGCTAAGTGGATGAGCCACAGCCTCTCCCCCAAATATGCCCCCTTTTTTGTGCAGAACTAATTTGATTAAGTGATAGCTGTTCATTTCAGACTAGAACACAAACTAGGAAAACAGGCAAGATTAGCATTGCATCTTAAATGTTAAGCCTTCCACTGTGCAACACTAACATTCCGGAGTCACTATCCTAAAAGGTAGAGAAGCTGGAGGGGAAAATGCAAAGTTGTGTGTATATAGTCGTGTGTATAGACGACTGATCAACATCAAAAACGTGTTTGATCATCCACCAAGTTACACTTTTAAAATTAAAACCTGATAGTTCATAAAATATCATACGAGTAGTTATAGGTGTTCTTTCTAAGACTGGAATTACAAAATGCCAATAATCACATTCCTGAATTCTTCAAAATTCTGATTAACCTCAGACAATCATAGATCCTTAACTATGGGCAGTAAATAGAGTACAGAAGCAGGTAGTTGTCTGTAGAAATTATTCACCTTCCCCCACTGCAACCATGTGTCAAAGGGAAGATGCTGAAGGATTTAACACACTGTACTTTGGGTATATCTTTGGAGAAAAGTAGTTTTAATTGGCCTTTAGGGAGGCTACAAACTCAAACACTAAAAAAGAGGGTTCATTTCTTAAGAAGACTAAGAGAAATGGAAGAAAGGATGAGAGAGAGGGCAAGAGTGAGAAAAAGGACAAGTTTTCCATGGGGTGTTATGTAAAACCCAAGATCAAACGAAAACTTTAGCTATATCACTAAGAACTGCATTCAGTTACTCATTGCACTTTTAAAGACAGTAGTTGCAAGCAAGGTTCCAGAACAGTACATTTCCAGGCACAGTTTAAAGTCTTGGTGCTGACCTTTAAAGACCTTAACAGCCTCAGCCCAGTATACCCGAAGTAGCGTCTCCACCCCCATTGTTCAGCCCGAAAACAGAGGTCTTCCTCCGAGGGTATACTGGCGGCTCCCTCACTACAAGAAGTGAAGTTACAGGGAACCAGGCAGAGGCCTTCCCAGCAGTGATGCCCTCCCATCAGATGTCAAGGAGAAAAAGAACTACACAACTTTTAGAAGACATCTGAAGGCAGCCCTGTATCGGGAAGTTTTTAATGTTTGATGTTTTACTATGTTTTTATATGCACTGTAAGCCACCCAGAGTGGCTGGGGAAACCCAGTCAAATGGGGCAGGGTATAAATAATAAAATAATAGTTTGTTGTTTGTTATTATTATTATTATTATTAGCAGCAGCAGCAGCAGCAGCAGCAGCATTTTTGGCATATAATCCCTGTAGAATTTAGTAAAATAATACATCCTTAAAAACATCTAACAGTGCATGGTTAGGAAGCCTATTTTATTTTCATTCATTTTTTCATTCATTTTTTCATTAATACTTCCCCCCACCCCATGTAATGAACAACATTTATCTAAGGAATGCATGGATAACTAAAAAGACTAATCAGCTTTGAAGAATTTGGTATATGTGAATAGCAATGATGGTTGGATAGTGTTCTCGAAGCTACCAGCATGAGTTTGACCAAACTACGGAAGACAGGAGTGCCTGGCATGCTCTGGTCCATGGGGGCACGAAGAGTCGGACACGGCTAAATGACTAAACAACAACAAATAGCAATGATGGTGCAGATGAATGAGATGACCAGATTGATCAGCCATAAGCAGAAAAGTAGGCCAATAGTTTCTGTAATTATATATTGCATACTACCAGGAGCAGCGCAGGATAATCACCTTTTTAAAAATCTTTACATCTTTTTGGTGCAAATTGGAATGAAACAAAACACAAGTAAGGATTTTTGAGTTTCTCAAGTTTTTTGCAAGTAACACTGAAATTAGGGACATGGAATTTTAAAACATGAAGTTACTATATCTGCTTCTAGGTCTGCGCAATCCTAAGCACATTTTCTCAGAAGTAAATCCTATTGGTTTCATTGGGATTTTATTAGAATCACACTCATGCACTGCCATTCAAATAATGTTTACTCCAAAGCAAATCTCAATGGGTCTTACTTGCAAATAAGTGTTGTGAGGAATTCAAGTAACAATGCATGAGCCTCCTTAAAATCAAATCACTTAATATCCAGTGGAATTTATATGAGTTTAATATTCTGTTTTGACTGCAGCCAGTGGTAACAGCAAATACAGTAAAAAAAAAAAAGCACATTCATACAAATGTGCTATCATCAGTGGTAGTTTTAACACTGACAATATACTTCACAGAAAACCAAATAATTCTCATTGGGCGGAATTCAACTGGTACTATGCCACTCATGGAAGGACATTTGATCCCAGGGAGGTGCCTGGCCATGAAAGGGGAGGAATGGTTTTGGCAAATCCCATATCCCTCCCTGCAGCTACCTATACCATCTTTCTCCCTGTTCTAGGGGGTTGCCCAGGAAAAGATTCTCTCGGAGAACCATGAGCTGTGGGGTGGATGAGGAAGGAATTGGCTCCTGTCCTCTTCTGTTAATGGATGCCTCTTCTGGATCAAACCCCCACTGTGAGTAGAAAGGCACCAATTGGATCCTATCACTTATACAACAATGCACTACACATCTGTCATTCCGTCTTTGCCTTCTTCTGAAATGCTTTGCTGACATAGGTGAGAGAAGCACCACCTGAAAGCTCTGAGACTGGCTGTGCTGGGGGAAGCTACAATTGTTGACTTGGGAAAGAAGTCCCTTTTGCCCGAGAACAAGCATGTGAGAATACCATTGCCTTGCCTTGCTGTCAGCAACTTCGCGACATCAAACGTCTTCACTCACAACCTCATCTCCTTTGTATGCTTACTAGGAGCCAACACACTACACAATAACCTTTGGTGCCTAAAGAAAAGGAGTTTCAGAGGCAAAGGTGTATGGACATATAACTAGCACAGCTGCTGTCTGGAAAAGTGCAATGGAGTTATATTACAATGTTGGGGGAATCATTAAAAGATGCCAAGATGTGGGGCAAACAAAAAACCAAACCCCGCTCAATTTGCAAGTACTCACCTATCCTGGTGTGCATCTTTCTAATATGGCCACAGGGTTGGACCAAAGATGAACATGAATGAAATGAAGAGGAGGAGAAGCTGGGGCAGATGAGGCTATGGATGCAGGTGAGCATCTCAATGGAGAGAGAGAGGGAGAGAGCAAAAGCCCAGGGAAAGAAAAGCAAGGCAAAACCAGGTAGGGTGAGGAGCTGAGGCTGGCATGCTACACAGCTCATCCACTCAGGTTATATAGCCCAATCTTTCTGGCCCCATATCCTTACACACTTAGTGAACACTAACTGTGGAAATAATGCCATTTTCTATTTGCTAGCATCATTGTTTGACATTGTCCTATTAGGAAATCATTATTTTAAACCAAGCATGAAGGAACTGAAACTTTGCCGTGCACTAATATATTCTCAACAGCTGAACAAATACAATTATTTTTGAAACTGTCAACTTGCATAAACTTCTATTCTTCCTATGCATCTTTTACCTCTTTTTTTGCAATTTCTAGTTATTCTTGCTGGATGGATGGGTTATTCTTTCGCATTTTGTTTGCTTCAACAGAATGAATCCAAACTTATACCTTCTGGTGATTTTAGAAAACTTTCAAGGCCAAATTAACTTTTTTTTTAAAAAAAATGTTCTCTAAAATCAAAACAGAGGGTTTAGATGTTCTGGGAAGGACGGGTAGCAGGTCAGGTTCTGAGGTCAGAATTTTGTCTGTGTAAAGGGACTATTCCTGGTAGATATCTGTTGCTTAGATTATCCCTAACACCCGATGGCCATAGCACATTCAAAATTAAGCACTATTAACAGTGCAATCCTATACGAGTCAACTCAGAAGTAAGCCCCAGTGAGTTCAGTGGGGCTTATTCCCATGAAAGTAGGCATAGGATGACAGGCTTAGTATTGATTTCAGTCAAGCACATTCTGAAATTCATTTCTATTGCAATCAATTGAAAGAGCTTAATCTCAACTGGGTCATATGCCCTATAGTATATAAGCAATTCCAGTATGAGGTGGCTTGTGTAGTGTTAGTAAAGCTACAGCACTTCCAGTTTCTCTTCATATCTGTGGGCGTGAGTATATAATGTGTGTGCGTACATTTCTGTTATGTGGCTGAATCCCAGTCACAACCTGCACACTGAAAGAAAAGATAAACCTTGTAGAGAACATCTATTTTTTATTACTCATATGCTATCTATGGAGGGGAAGTGGCCTTGCTTTTGTGGTAACTTTCCCCAAAACAACAAGACCCTGCCCCTGGTGGTCTACCTACCCCTTGCCCATCAGTTGGCAACCCTATATGAGCAATCAGTTGCTGGTTAGGGACTGACAGGTTTGTCAAGAACTTTAGGCAAGATTTGACCTACTGGAAGCTATACATGCAATACTTTTTTTTAATGCATTTTAATTAAAGTAGCATATACTTGCTCTCCAACAAGAACAAAGCATTTGAGGCCTTGCATACTTCTTGTTGTTTTCCTGTATTTGAGACAGAATGCCCTAATCAGCATTTTCACCACTGCTTTTTAAAAACTGATCTACAAGTGTGATGAATGTCTTTGAAATTCTGATGAAAACGAATCTGCTCAGTTTCCTGGCTTCAGTCCCACAAGTCACATTTTACCTCAGAATGACATAAATCAGCTTAGTCTGGCCTCTATAAAAGCCGGAGAGGGAGAATGTACAAGTAATTTTAGGTTGTCACTGAGTGATTGGTTTTCTGACTTCACACTTTTACCAAAAATAGAACAGGCCTTACCGTAGCTGTCATAAGCATCTTCACTTGTTCCATGACCATAGTCATAATATTCAGGCAGACTGCAATAGATTGACAGCAAGTAAAGTTATTGGCACAGGAAAGCTTCAAACACAAGAAAATATAAGTTTGTTATGTTGGTCCTTAAAAAAATAATTAAAAAATAAATCTAGACAAGCAACCGCTAACTCAATATTTAAGGAGGAAAACCTGAAAGGAAAAATCAGTGAAGGAAAAAGGCAACATACAGTAGAATGCATTGTTCATTTTAACCCCCAACCCACCGATAAAGGTAACCCTGAATGGCAGTGGTTTTGAAGATTTGACTGTGAACGTGCAGAAGGAATTACAGCTTGCTATAAAAAATGCCTATACAATCCACCTCCCACATTTAAAACATTGTGATTCTTGGAATGAACCAGCAGGAATTTTTGTTTTGACTTGCAGTGGCTTCAGCTCTGTTCTTGTCAAAACATATGTATGTGCTGTCATTGGGAACAGGCAGGTTAGATCCCCAAATGATAAGAGACAGAGGAGAAACAAAGCTCACTCAGTCCATTTCCTTGTGCTGCAGCAGTAACATCATAACCACGTTTTCCTAACAAAGCATCCTTCATGCTTTGGAAAGATCAGTAACATCATGCCAGAACAGATGTGTCAACACGGCCAATGATAATTTTAGAGGGAGGGGGGAAAGCCTCTGGTATCACATCTGCGGGAAAGCAGGAAACCAGCAGGCCAGTGTCGTGGGCAACATGAATCTCCCAACACTGGCATCACTGCAGCTTACCTGGACCTGGCCAGGGCAGGGCAGTGTTGAGGTCAGGGCTGCATGGACACACCAATGGGAACACACAGATCTGTGCCGCTCTGACCTTGCCATTGCACTGCCCCTGGACTATTCAGGTAAACTGCAACAAATGTAAAGTTGAGGGGCCTTTTCTGCTGCCTGCTGCCAGTAGGAGAACTTCTTGGGTGGAGCTGGGACTTGCATCCCTCCCCAACCTGCGGTGCTCCTTTCTGCTAATGGAAGTTGGTGGAGAGGAGATTGCACACCATCTAAACCCCACTCTCAGCTATCCACACAGTGGGGTTGGGATTTCAATGTAAGAATAATTTCTCATGTCATTCTGACTTTTGGCTAATCCACCATTTTAAGACTTGCCGTTTCAAAAACAAACAAACCACTATGGCAGGCATAGGCAAACTTGGCCCTCCAGATGTTTTGAGACTACAATTCCCATCACCCCTGACCACTGGTCCTGTTAGTTAGGGATGATGGGAGTTGTAGTCTCAAAGCATCTGGAGGGCCGAGTTTGCCTATGGGTTCTAGTAACAAACGAGTTCTCCTCCAGAATTCACTGCTGGAATCTGAGCATTTCCAGAATATGGAGGCAACTGTTCATTAATGCATGCACTTTAAATACAGCTGAATATATGCAGCTATCTATTACTTATATTTATTAGAATAATATTCTTGTCTAATTTCTTGGACAAGAGCTTTGATAAGTGAATTGCATTTCAGGCATCTTGAGCCAGCACAGATAGTTTTCTATGACTGCTTTAAGGTGGCATCAGAAGACAAATCTTGACTAATTCATGTTTTGTACAAGTGTAGTACATCTCAGCAATTATCAAATGAAATCAGCATAAGCAAAGCTTTCCTGTTTACAAATTTTAATTTATATCCTATAATTTTGCAAGTTTCGTGTTCATGCATCCAAGAAAGCCAGGTTTCCTTGGCAGTTGGGAATCAAGGCATTGTTCTCTATGATTAGCATTCATTAGCCTGAAAATAAAGTAAAGCACGTTTTTGAGAGCTCAGGTTCCTAGCCTGAAAGCACATATAAGATGAACTCATTATCAGCCAGGCGTATTTCCCCTAGCATACACTACATTATACTTTAGCCTTTAGCTTCAGGGCAGCCTGATCTTGTACTGCCAAGCAATGGCTGCCTCCGCCTCTGTACATTAACTCCAACATCACATTGTTGATTAGAGAGGGAAAGCCGCCTGGGGGGGAAACTAAACACTCCTGCAAACCCCATACTTTCATTCTGATCCCAGATTGAGGGTAGTTAGAATGGGGCAACCTGTCTCTGATGCCTCCACTTAATTCCAAAACCACGAGGAAGAAAGATGCCAATGCCCACTGGTATGATGAAGGTTGCTGGAGGGATTCCTTACCTCCCCATCTGAGGCTGGAGAACATATTTAGTAGGGGTGAATTTGGAGTAAAGCCAAGTTTGGCAGCTGTAGGGCTATGGAGTTGGGGAAATACAATTCCCCATTGGCATGCCCTGCAGCCTATAAAGCACGACTAGTCTTGGGCTAGCTGTGTAATAAAAATTGTGGTGTTGAGTAGGCCTGTGTATAAAAAGTATTGTTACAAGTTTGGGGTGTTAAACTGTGTGTCAGATCCCTCTAATCCAGCAAGTGTTAGAATTTGATCAGGGCTTCTAATTTGATCAGAGTAGGTGGGTTAGTCTCCTGGTGATTCAGAGGGATTAAGGGGCTTAGTGCAATCTGGTAAATGTGTGGGGCCTCCTCTCTCAATAGGCAAATCCAGAATTTGGAGTAGAGTTCATTTGCTGTGATGTGACCTAGAAGTAAAGCCAGCAAGCTAGAAGGAGAGTCAGAGCGGTGTTTGAGAGCAACGTTTGATTTCTATTTGAATCCAAGGCTGTAGCAAAGGGAGAAACAAAACCCTTTGGGGGCACTGATGCTGTGAACCCCTCCATCACAGGCTCAGGTTGTATATATGTGCAAATATACAATATATATCACATATATCCTAAAGACACCTCAGTCTCCGCTGTGCCGCATTTCCAAAAGTAAACACAAACCCTGGGGAAGTACCTGGAATCTCGCACCGATTGGAGGGGCATGCAACAGTGTTTTGGGACTACAACTCCCATCATCCCTAGCTAACAGGACCAGTGGTCAGGGATGATGGGACTTGTAGTCCCAAAACAGCCAGAGGGCCAAGTTTAGTCATGCCTGATTTAGGTTCTTCTTTTTTTTTTGCAGTCCTCAAATGGGTTAGCTGCAGGGCTTTTTTTCAGAGGTAACTCACAAGAACTCAATTCTGGCACCTCTCAAGTGGGCACCATTGTCATTCTAAGAAAATGAGGGAGGTGCTCATGGTGAGTTCCAACACCTCTTTTTCTAGAAAAATAGCATTGGCTTAGCTGTAACACATAGCTGTTGCAGAATGAAAAGATAGGGTGGCTGTTATGATGATGGTGGTAGTGGTGTATATATAGCACTTCATCAAAAGATCTCAGGGTGGTCCCCATACATGTTATTTTATGAGTTTTTATTTATTGCTGATACAGCTATTGCTACACCTTATACATTACAATCAATCAGCTGTTCCGTGCTGTTGAAATAAATTGGGAATGTGTTTAGTATACAAAAACTGTGTTTCGTAAGCAAGCGGCAGCGGGGGGAGGGGATTAGGATCTTAAAGTAGAGCTTCAATAAATCTTTGATGAACTGTCAAAGTTAAAAATGCATTTCACGTAAGACACTTCCAAAAGTCAAAGAGCAACCGTTCTTCAAGAAAGATTGGATTTATGATTAGCAAAAATGGTTGGCTTAGGAACTCTGATGTGCATTTTTACAGTGATTAGAATGTGGTTTCTAAGATGAAACTTGGGATTCTATCTTATGCTAGTTTTAAAGAATGAATTAATAAATAATAATAATTCAGGAATATTCCGTTCCTGCTGCAGGAGAGATATAAGGCTGAGCATCTCCCCTACTGCCATTATTTACTGGCTCATAATCTGAGACCTTCTTTGGAAGCAATAATTATTTGCCCTTATTATTTTGGTTGCATTCACTGCTTCACCTTTAGTGGGGGAATCTTAGAACAGGATACTCATAATATGTTGGAATCAATATTAATTATGAAAACGAAAGCTCTCTTAGCTGCTAATAGGCCTGCCTTATCTCAGCAAAACATGAGCTTCCACTTTTTAGAAAGTCTTACATACCTACGGTATTATGGGGAATTTGTATGTAAATGTGAATAGGCTACAATGCCCTCAGGTAATCCTCTAGTGAGCACTCTTTAATTAACTTTCCATGGAAATGTTGCCTCAAGGGATTCAAATGCTTGGAGACACAAATCTCACCCAATTGAGATAAATGTATTTGGCTAACCTTCAAATTTTCAAATGGTATATCAATTATAATGATAGCTGTTTGCCCAGTTAAATATTCTTATTGAAAAATGTTAAAATCTCGGCTAAAAAATGGAATCTCTGAGCTAGAGTTTATACCCCGCAATCTTCTAGAATGGTGTAATTTACCACAACCTAGCTAAGCTGATTTGATAAATGTAAACGTTTTGTTGTTGTAGGGCTCCTTACAAGTACGTCCTCCTACCTCTACCTTGCAATCAGAGAAGTTGGCTCAATTCCTGTTGCCTGAACAAGCTGGCTTGCTTTCAGAATGAACTACATGGATACCTATTTGCGCACAAAGCCATGTTTGTTGCTCCTGCAAGGTTTGGTTTCAACCAAGAAAGTGCAATATCCATGTGCAAAGTGGCTTTCCATCGCCAATGAATAACCACAGCCAACCCAAACACACCTGAGATTAGAAAGGGGGGGTTCCAGTTCACTGTGTGTGACAGGCTGTCTAGACCAGCAAAACTACTATTGGGCTAAATATTTCAGACTGGTCCTCATTATTCGCATCACTGCTCTTTCGGTCCTCCCCAGGAGGACATTTGACAAATTGGCCTCCCCAATTTCACCATTCTTGAATTTTGGGTGATGTTTTAATGTTGTTTCGTGTTATTTTAAAATAATTGGCAGAAGCAATGGGTTTGGCTATATTTCATCCAGTCCTCTTCTTTAAACCCACTGATTCCTTCATGCACCAATATGAAAGGGAGATAGTTTCATTCAACAATAAGTGAGCTGAAATTTCTCCGAACAGTTCCCCCCTAAGAAAAACTCTTGGGAAATTTATCCTCCCCTCAATCATATTTGGTAAAATAGTCTCCACCCACCCATCCCTAAATAGCGTGGATAACTGGGAAGCATTC